TTCTTTTGAATGAAATTAAAATGTATTAGCTCTTTGGCTCCCTTCCTCCTTGTGTTTGGTTTTTCATAATCAGACCTTTTTTTTTTTTTTTTTTTCTTTGTAGAACTGGGGATTGAACTCAGGCCCTTGCACTTGCCAGGGAAGCACTTATTCCACTGAGCCATCTCCCCGGCCTAGTCAGGCCTATTGAGCAGGCTTGAGTTTATGCTAGTGAGGTGATTCACAGCACCAGACGGAACAGAATATCCAACCTCAACCTCCCATCTCCAGGGAGGACGGTCAAAATGAACCTCTATCAGAACTCTGACCAGGGAACTGCGCTGAGCCCCACAGCGGTGAGCACACTGTGATTCGGGGGTCTGAACGCCCGGAGACGACGGCGATCGTGCACACCCGCAGGCTGCTCCTGCCGTAGGCGTCTCTTCCTCTTGACACCTTCTGAGTCGCCTCCTTGAGCATAAACCGCTAAGTACCAACAACAGGGTGGTATCAGCGCCTGGGAGTTGTCTGCCCAGCGCCAAGCCGGCAGTAGCTTGTTGGGAACCCCAGTCAGTGGCTGGCGGACCGCAGCTCGGTTAGTCTGGGCCACCTCTTGTGGCTGACACTGGAAGTGGACTCAGCTGTGGGCCTGAGCTGTCTTCGGAGTGGAGTGCAGCACTGTCTTTGTAGAGGGAATTGAAGGGTTTCTTGAAGCTTAATAAAAAAAAAAAAAAGAAAGAAAGAAAAAAGAAAAAAAGATTTCCCGTGGTCTTTATTTGAACACCTCTTTTTTGTTTGTTTGTTTCTATTTGCATGGGTGATTTTTTTCAGACCAACCCCTGAGCCTCTGGTCCCTCCCCCCAGTGTGACACTAAAGATGTCACTTCACCGACACCATGCATCTTAGCGCTGTGAGAGCCAGTCTTCTGCACGGTTTGGTTTCTGTTTCACCGCTTCCTGTTCTTGCCTTTGTTGTTGTCACTGTTGTTGTTTTTCCTTCTTTAGGCTTTGAGTTGATTTGGCTCCCTTTTTTGTTAGTTTTTAGGGGTTGTGGACAGGAGATCTTTCCTCTGTCAGGGAACAAAATATAGTTGATCTCAGTCGGCTTTATGGTCAGCTCTAGATTAGGGGCGATTCTGCACTGCTCGCGAAAGCATAAGCTTCTTGTCCTCAGGGCAACACAGCTTGTTTGGGCACAAAGACGTGCTGGAAAAGGGCCGGTGAGATAGCTCAGCAGACTAAGCCTCTGCTTAGGCAAGGGCAGGGACCGGGGTTCGATTCCTTGGTGCCCCATGCTGTTCTAGGCCAGCCTCCGACTGAGTCTGGGCATAGTGAGGCTGAAAACAGGAGGATCACTATGAGTTGGAGCTGCGTAGTGAGATCCTGCACCAATTACATACATTTAAAAAGAAGAAAAAGAAGTGCTGAAGAAAGCAGAAGCTGCAGGCATAAAAGAGATCTGTTATTCCCAGTTCTCTTGTTGTTGTCATCATTTAGTTATTTATTTACTTATTTTTGTTGTCGTTTGCAAAACTGGAGTGTGAACCCAGGCATTTTGTACTAACCCACATATCTGAGCTGTTTTACATTTTGTCTGCAGCGATGTCTCACTATGTGGCTACGTTGCCGAGGCTGAGTTCACATTTATAACCCACCTGCCACAGCCTTTCACTAGCGCTTTGGAGTTTCGCTGCATCTGTTCAAGCTGATTGAGGAGCTTCATCCCGAAAAATGATTTTCTGTGGTTTTCATTTTAACACTTCTTTGTGTTTGTTTCCATTTGCATGGGTGGTCGTTTTCAAACCTTGACTTTTATGTCTTTTTAATTTGTTATTTCTTGGAAAAAAAATAAATATGTAATACCAAAACCCAATACATTGCATGTTGTCATCTTCAAAGTAGTTGTTCAAAGTATAAAATGTGCATGTTAAAAAAAAGTTCTCAAAAAAACAAATGAAGAGGGACCCAGGAGATGGCTCAGTAGAATAAGCACTTGCCTGGCAAGCACAAGGGCCTGAGATCATTCCCCGGTTCTGCCAGAGAGAGAGCCAGAGAGAGAGAGAGAGAGAGAGAGAGAGAGAGAGAGAGAGAGAGAGAATGAGGAATGAGGAAAGCAAGAGCTTCCCAGAAGACTCCATATGCTCATTGCATCCACTCACCTCCTCCACGAGGGTAGGCACCACGTATATATCTAACAATATAAGCTGTATGTATTTCATCTGTATTCAAGCTTGCAATAAATGGAATCTTAATATTAAAAAAATGCTCTCCAGGGCTGGGGAGACAGCATGGCAGTCTAAGCACCTGCCTGGCAAACACAAACTCCTGAGTTCAACCCTTGGT